GGGGATGTTAGATTTGGTTTGCGAGGGTAATGGGACCTTACATGCTACGTCAGCCTACGTGCTTTTTCTTTTAAAAACAAAAAGGAAAAAAAAGGGGGATAGATCGGCTTTTCTAAGGATACGCACAGCTTACATGCTATGGGCTTTCTCTTTCGGGTGAAAAAGTAAATAAAAATAATAATAATAAATTAGAAAAGGGGTATAGATCGGCTTTTGCAAGAAGAAAGCACAGCTTACATGCTACGAGCTTTCTTTTTCGGGTAGAAAAAAGAATTAAAAAAAAAGGGAGAATATTGGGATAGATCGGGTTTTGTAAGGGATACAGCAGATACATGCAGTGAGCTTTCTCTTTCCCAAAAAAAAGAAAAAAAAGAAAAAAGGAAATAGATTGGGTATTGTAGAGCTTAGATGCTATATTATGCTTTCTTAAATAAAATTAAAAAAAAAAAAAAAAAAAAAAAAAAAAAAAAAAAAAAACACCGGATAGGTTGGGTTTTTCGTAGGGATGAGCAGAGCTTACATGCTGTGAGCACGTACTGCGGATCTATTAGCGTCCCTCCACAAAGGGGTACAAAATCCCCCTCGAATTCATACAAAATAAACACTTGAAATGGTCGTTCTTCGCCTCCAACCACTCCTCCATGCACGGCCGAAGCCGACAACGCGATATCCTTCCGTGAGCGTACACCACCATAGCCATCACCTTCACCATCTTCGTCGTTGATAGAAACGCCATCCCCATCGCCATCGCCATCGCCATTATCTTGGTGATTGACAGTGACGCCATCGCCATCGCCATCGCCATGATCTTGGTGATTGCGAGAGACGTCATCACTATTATCTTGGTGATTGCGAGAGACGTAATCACTATGACCTTGGTGATTGCGAGAGACGTCATCACTATTATCTTGGTGATTGCGAGAGACGCCATCCCCATTATCTTGGTGACTGCGAGACATGTCATCGCCATCGCCATAGCTACCATCTCGGTTATGCAGAAGAAGCACAGCATTGGCATCGCCATCAGCATCAGCCCGGCGATGGCGATGGCGAGCCTCATCGCCATCGCCATCGCCGTGACGGTCTGGATCGCGATGGACGAAGGGTTGGCGAAGACGTCTTCGCAGTCCAAGGTTCAGCTGCACGCGCCCCCTCACTGCAGCTCCTCCTCCCCTTTCTCCGTCGTGACCGCCATAGCCAAAGCTTGTGCACACGTCGAGTGAGACACCAAGCAGAAGAAGAAGGAGAAGAAGGAGAGGATGAAGAAGAAGAAGACGGCGAGGAAGACGAAGGAGAATCATGGCGGAGCCTTTTCTGGATCTGGCTCTGCTGGAACTTATTCGAAGGATGGATGCTGCTGCAGCGCCATCTTCTTGCAAGATTGCTCGACCGGTCGTTCGCAAGCGGTTGCATTCAGCGACCGGTCGCATTCCACAGTCATGAGCTTTTATGCCGCGTCGGCAATTTCTGCTCACAGAATGTGAATCCAACGACCGGTCGCTATCGCCATAGCCGCTCATCTTCGTCATCCTTGTCAATGTCAATGGTACTCGAGTTGAATGTTTGCATCCAAGGACCGGTCGCACAAGTGCTGCCGCTTCGCTTGGCTGTGTGGTTGCCCTGCTCCTCGACCGGTAGGCTAAGCTCCCCTGTACACGGACGGCTAATGCTGACCGCCCAATCGAGAATGATATTCATCCATCGCCACAACTATCAATGCAGCATGTGGGCATGCTCACGTGCCACATCGCGATGACGCTATAAGATCGGATCGCGACCGTTGCTCTGCACCGGACCCCACCCCCGGCTTCACGTTATAGTCTGATCAAACTGCATTTTTTTCAACTGATACTCTCTCTCTCTCTCTCTCTCTCTCTCTCTCTCTCTCTCTCTCTCTCTCTCTCTCTCTCTCTCTCTGTGTGTGTGTGTGTGTGTGTGTGAGAATGGGAAGGAAAGAAGGCGGCGGCGGAAGGGATGACCCAGGTGTTTGTAGAACCACAGAGAGAGAGAGAGAGAGAGAGAGAGAGAGAGAGAGAGAGAGAGAGAGAGAGAGAGAGAGAGAGAGAGAGAGAGGAACACACTGTATGAATAGTGGGCGAGTCGACGCGAGGCCGTTCGTGGGTTGAGCAAGGGGGAAAGGACCCTCCTCCTTTCACTCCGCCAGGTCCGCCTGTCATATCTATTTTGGAGCATGCTTGGCGGAATTTATCATTACGTATTTTGGTTTCATTGTCCTTTTTTTTTTTTTTTTTTTTTTTTTTGTTTTTTTTTTTCTTTTTTTTGCCGGGTTTTTTTTTTTTTTTTTTTTTTTCGCTAGAGATTCTGCAGGTGAATATGCCCCCGCATGTCCGCGCATGTGTGATGACTTGTACGCATCTCTCTCTGACTGTTATTAATGTGTATAAGAGACAGCTCTCTCTCTCTCTCTCTCTCTCTCTCTCTCTCTCTCTCTGTGGCTGGTTGCAGGGGGTGGGGGGGGCTGTCTGGTTACAGGTTCGTCTGGTGGCAGGGGGCTGGGGGGAGAGGGCTAAACCTGCGCACAGCGCACACATGCGCCGCAACTATGTTACGGACCAATAACCCTGCCCACTCAATATGACAGTAGCAGGGGTGGAGAATGCCCCCCTGCTAACACAATGCAAAACTGATAGGCAACTGGGGTGCAAGGGGGGATGGGCCGGAGGTTTTCCCTGGCAGCAGTGCCGTCACCGTGAACGTGACCGGCACTGGTCACTTGAAAGTGAACGGCCGGTCATTTGGCCCTGCGCCTGAGAACGGGCAGACCACGAAAGAGANTTTTTTTTTTATAACAGAAAACAGGTGGGTTTAGCTCGTACCTTATAGCCGTCCGGGCAATACTTTCCGGCAAGCTCACATTATGCTGACGACAACCGATATGGTCACACTGCAAATTGAGCGCCAACTCAGATAAACCAAAATAGCACCGAACGTGAAGTCTTCCCTTAGGCTAGAGGCTACATTTCTTCCCCCGAATACAACGTACGGTCATTGTAGCTGTATGAATTTGGGGTATCTTTCAGTCTAAATACAGCTATGATGACCGTGTGTTGTATTCGGGGAAAGAAGGCAGTAGTACATTGAGTTATACCCACCTGGGTTCGAACTCTTGACCGGTTACTAAGGGTGAGATCCCACGCAGTCTGGCAAAAACGATTGGAATAAGTGTCGGAATCTGGACGTGTTGTTGTGTGGAGAGGTGCAAAAAACTGCAATCGATCTGCTTTTCTGCATCTCTGCGTGGAACATGTCCTGATTCAGACACTTATTCCCAATCCTCTTTGCCAGTGGGATCTGGCCCTAAGTAATACTACCATTTAGACATGTGTTCACTCCAGACACATGGGCTAGGGCAAGGTCCCATTAGGGAAAAAGGATTGATTGAACGCCTGAATCTAGACGTGTTTGCAAAGGTGCACAAACTCGAGATCGAACTGCTTTTCTGAATCTCTGGTTAAACCACATCCAGATTCAGACGCTGAATCCAATCCTCTTTGCTGACGGGACCTCGCCGGTGGGCTGGAGGAAAGTTGCGGTGGATCGGGGCAAAAAAAAAAAGAAAAAAAAAGAAAAAAAAAAAGAAAGTGCAGTGGATCTGCGTTGACGGTATGCCCCTTCACACGTCAACGCAGGTCTTGCCCCTTTTTTTTGTTTTTTGTTTTTTTTTTGAGATGGGGGAATGTCCACGTTCATGAGCTTTGATGATGTCCCTGCACAGGTGTTGGTTGTCCCTTGTTTTTTTTTTTTTTTTAGAGAGCGAGATTTCGGTATGGTTTCACACTCGGAGGAGGTGATATGAGCACCCTCCTCAAGTGACTCCCACGGTGAAGGCTTCAATCTATTGGTGGGGAGCATAACGTGCTGGAAACCGGGTCCAGGGTCCCAATATGAACGACCAATTTGTTCCTTGGGACATAAAATAGGAAACCTGCTCCCGCCACGAGCAGCTGATGCTTCTTTATACTTTTGTTCATAAGCCGAAGATACGTGGGGATTGGCCTCCCTATTGCAATTCTTCTTCTTCTTCTTCTTCTTCTTCTTCTTTCCCTTCGTGTTCTTCTTCTTCTTCTTCTTCTTCTTCTTCTTCTTGTTCTTCTTCTTCGTCTTCGTCTTTTATTTACTTAACTTATTCGACTACTATTCTCCTCTTCTTGGCGCTCTTGTCGAAAATCCAAAAAGAGAGATTAATCAATGTGTATGATTTATTTATTTCTCTGTAAGCACTATGCTTAGTAAAGAAACCGAAAAGGAAAAAAACACAGTCGGTGAATTTCGGACGAAACAGTCTTCCACGGAACATGACAAAGCACACACACGCACACGCACACGCACACGCATGCGCACACACACACACACACACACACACACACACACACACACACACTGCTCTGCTCACACACACACACGCGCACACACACACGAAAGAACAGTTTTTGCACTGGGCATTCCCTGTCTACTATATGAGGGGAGGTTCTGTTCGATCAGACGGGTTTTCCAGCAGGGGCACGGTCCCACTGGTGCACGGATCAAGGGACAGGATTAACATCGTACGGGCGTAGATCTGTTTTACTGACAAAAGCAGAAGATGGACACCACACACAACCAGCGCCCCCCCCACACACACCCATGATGGGCAAAGACGACCCTACCAGTACCGATAGAAGCCAACTATCTCACTTGGTTGGCACTAAGCGTCCCCGGGCAGGCAGTTGGGATTGAACCGCCAACCTCCTGAACGCCAGTGCGTGCTTGACCAACTGAGATGCGCCGACTTCTCAGGGGCCAAGTCCCACTAGCAGCGTTCAGTTTCCTCAACTCCTGAATGTGGACGTCTTTGTGGAGATGTGCGGTTGAGAAAACTGGACGCCATTTCTGCACATCTCCACAAACACGAGCAGATTCGGGCGTTGAGGAAACTCAACGCTGCTAGTGGGACCTGACCCCAGTGCCGGTTTCAAAATAAACTTCCCGAAAGGAAAAGAGAAAACAAACATTAAAAAAAACAAAAACGAAATCTCAAGGCGTTGGGGGGCCCCTCTAACCTTTATTATATACATTCACTTTAATTATAATTTATCCATCATGATTTGAACCTGTGATCCGTCTGTCAAAAGTGTGTACACACGTGGGTACAGCTCACCCACTGTATTCCCCCGAATACAACAGTCAGCTTACCTGTATCCAGACTGAAAACTGACCACGTACTGCGTTAAGTACTGGGCGCCCTACTCGGGGAAAGACGGTAGGGACCGGCTTTTTTTTTTTTTTTTTTTTTTTTTTGGACCATTTCTCAATTTATGCGTGTCATCCTTGCGCAGGGGCCATGCTAATCTTCTCTGTATCGCTCCAATTTTAACGGATGTCCCGAAGGACAGGGACCGGCTTTTGGGGCAGGGGTGGCGCCAACAAAAACCTACTGCCCTTTCTTTTCTTTTCAATTTGGTCCTTTTTATCCAGAATCAGTGAATCACTTGCCCGTTATACCCATCCAAGGGTACTTCCCATTCTGGGAGGCCTAAACCAAGGCTCCTTTCCATTCTGGGAGGCCTACAGCAAGGCGCCTTTCCATTCTCCAAAGCCTAAAGCAGAACACGCCCTAATTTTTTTATTTTTATTTTTTTTGGGAAATACACGCCCTAATTTGGCGGACTGGTTGGCAGCTGTTGAATTGCAATTTTCTTTTTTTTTTAAGGTTTTTTTTTTTTTTTAAAGGGGAGCAGTGCCCCCCCCACAATGAATTGCATATTCATCCATTGGAGACCTGATCTGCACTTTTGAGAATCTATTTGGTGCCGTTAGATTGCGAATGTAGACAGTTGGCAATCAATTAGACCCATTGGATGGGCGATCTGCACAGTCGATAAGACTGCCAGTACCTTTCCCAGCTATATTGCTCAAAGCTGCCGCCTTTGGGGGCTCTGCTTACAGAAAAGTCACCAATCTGAATGGTTGGCAATCTATCTGAGCCTTTGGATGACGTGGTTGGTAATCATTCAGACTCAGTGGGTGGCAGATCTGCATGGTTGATAAACAGCCAGTACCTTTCCCAGCCATTTTGCTCAAAGCTGCCACCTTTCGGGGTTCCGCTTCCGGAAAAGTCACCAATCGGCATGGTTGGCAATCTTTTGGAGCCGTTGGATGGGCGACCTATATGGTTGGTAATCACTTAAAGTCAATGGGTGGCAGATCTGCATGGTTGATAAAGTCAGTACCTTTACCAGCTATTTCGCTCAAAGCTGCTATCTTTTAGGGGTTTGGCTTGCTGAAGGGTCATGCTCACTCTGGTTCGACAAAATCGGACCGCAGAAGTCCATATCAGGTTGGCAAAAAGAGGCTGGGAGGTACCTGCATAAATCAAATAGTAGCTTTTCAAATTATAGTTGGTTCAACTTGGTTGTATAATTATTCCAAGCAGTTATCTTTTGGCTTTTGGCTTCCGCGCAGGGGCAAGGTCTCACTTCACCAACTCTGTGTGTCCCTTACTTCTTGAAAAAAAGGACTCCACATGTCCATCCACACCTCCCTGCGGCCTAGGGGTTGAAATGAAGAACTTCAAGGCAGGAAAGTGGGAATCTGAATGGGGGAGGGGCGGGGGGGGGGGGGGGGGGGGGGCGGAGTCTAGTCGA